CTTCTGGGTGAAGAGGCTGTGCACACTCCAGTGAAGAACAATGACCAGTTTATGCAAATAATTACTTTAATCGTCAAATGAGTTTGAGCTTGAATATTACCCTGAGTCCTGGGTGTGTTAAGGCTGTTGAGTCCTGGAGGCTCCATCAAGTCACGGAGACAGAGGGAGCCAGGACATGGGTTGGGGCAGGGAGCACCTCCCACCAGGCATGAGGCAGGGGCGTTGCGGGGGGTGGTCAACTGGGGAGACGTAAAGCAAAGATCTGAAGACCGCTTAAGAAAAGTATCTGGCAGAATACTGTTCGTAGGTTGGCTATGAAGGGCAAAGAATAAAAAGAAACGAAAACCCATCCGTTGTAAAATGCTTTAGCAGGCTCAGCTAAATCACTGGTGTGACTACAGATGGCTAGTTCTGTTTCTATTTTCTCTTGCATTTTTCCCCTCCTTTTGAGCATTGAAAGTTGAAAAAGAAAGGAGAGGAAAAAAAATCCCAGCAAGAATCATTTCAGTGACAAAAGGGTGAGTCACCGCGTGTGGCAGTCTTTTGGACAATATGAGTGAAGTCAGGAGGTGGAAATTAAGTAAATATCATCCTGTCCTTATTTACTTTATGCTTATTTTTTCTTGAGGCTGTCGGAAAGGGAGAGCTTATCATTATATACATTCTTACACAGAACGTAATTTATCTTTTTCTCCAAAGGGTGGGAGATGAGAGAGCGAGATTAGTTTATTCATCCTTCTCAACACTCCGCTGAACCACCACCAGAAATCCAAATCCTTTCGAATAGCATTGGATTTTCAAAGGTTTTGTTTGAATAAAATTATAAAATAATGTATACTTATTGTGAAAAAATTCCAACAATATAGAAATACATAATGTGACATTCAAAGTAATTCATTCTCCTTTAGGTCCCACTTCAGACATTTGCAAACACACATGCACATGCAGACTATTTTTTACACCAATGGGAACTGTTTTTGCTCTAAAATATTCTTTAATACCTCTTTTTCATTGAATGGGCACGGAGCTCCACAGAATGTTGTGCATTTCCTTGGCTGTCTGAGCTCTGTCTCAGGGAAATACTCAGCAAGCAGACTCACATTCAAGTGGCCAGCATCCTCAGATCCCAGCTCCCTCCCTGCCAAACTGGTGACCTTGCGTTCGGGTATTTGTCTCATGGTGTTGGTGTGAGGATCAGTGAGACATAAGGCACTGCACAAGGGCGTGGAGCATAGTAGGTGATGTGCACTACACGCTACTTCAGCACGTGGTGAACTGATGTGGTCTTTGAGAATGGAGTCTAGGGACAAATGGTTCCTTCTCTCCCTTGCAGTTTTCCAAGGTACAACTGGGGCTTGTTTAAATATCTGACTGCAAATCTTCACCTTCAGGACGCTGCTTATCAATTATATTGATATTTTATCTAGGCTGTCTGGCTATTTTCTGTTTCTTTTGGAGACTTAGAAAGCATTTGACCCTAGAGAAGATGTGGTGTGTATATACAATGGAATACTGCTAAGCCATAAAAAGGAATGAAATAATGCCGTTTGCAGCAACATGGATGGACCTAGAGATTATCATACTAAGTGAAGGAAGTCAGACAGAGAAAATCAAATACCATATGGTATCACTTACATGTGGAATCAAAAATATGACACAGGATAAGCTTATTTATGAAACAGAAATAGACCCACAGACATAGAAAGCAAGCTTATGGTTACCAAAGGGAAAAGCAGAATAGGGGAGGGACAAATTAGGAGTTTGGAATTAGCAGGTACAAACTACTAAACTATACATAAAATAGATCAACCAGAAGATCCTACTGTGTAGCACAGGGAACTATAGTCAATATCCTGTAATAAACCATAATGGAAATATGAAAAGAATATATACATATATAACTGAATCACTTTGCTGTACGCCAGAAACTAACACAGCATTATAAATCAACTATACTTCAGTTGAAAAAAAGAAAGCATTTATCACTGATACGTTTTATTTTTCAGAATTTTAACTTTCTGTTCCCCAAGCTTTGGGGTGTGTAATCAGAGAAGTACATAAAAGAATTTATGGTGGGACCTGTGAGCAGGTGCTGAATTTGTTATTTTCTCATAAGACGTGTTTTTGCAACAATCTAAACTCAAGGGTGGGCATGTGGACACACACACTCGTGCACACGCATGCATACACACACCCCCTCTGGGAATCAGCCTCCACACTGTTAAAGGCTGTTCAAACGTCGTCCTTTCAAGGGCCCTGGGAGCTGGAGATTCCCTAACGAGTCACCCCTTTTGTGTCTGTTTCTTGGCAGGAATCCACTGTGAAGCCTACAAGGACCCCTGCGCTAACGTCAGCTGTCTGAACGGAGGCACGTGTGACAGTGACGGCCTCAATGGCACGTGTGTCTGCACACCAGGATTTACAGGCAAGTGATCTGGGAACTGTTTTCAAATTTACTGCAAGACCCCCGAGATTGTGGCTGTTAAAAAGCCCAGACGCCTCTATGCATACGTTATTGCAAAATCTGAATCCCATTGCAAAATGTAAAAGTAGGCATTGCTTGGATGAAGATCTGTTTTAAAACAGCCTACTGTGCTGTCATTAAGTGAGGCTCTTCTGAAATCAGCATTTGGTACGGACACTTGCCAAGACTACCACTGCTGTACGTTTCCAGAGCCGTAGCCTTGAAACATGAGAGATGAGCCCTGACACGAACACCTGAAACATTTCAGTGCTGACGGAAGCAGGAAGGAGAGAGGAAGGATCAAATACGTCTTCCACAGAAATTGCATTTATTTTTATTGGAAGATACAGCAGTGACTGGATTTTGAATAATGGAGAGGTGGTGGTGGTGGTGGTGGGAAATAAGAGAGAGATGCTCTCAGTTCAGGGCTGAATTATTAGTGAAGATAAGGACGGGACAGGTGTGGGAAGGGAGACGGGATGGGGGCAGAAAACTGCCTGATGGCAACGCAGGTAGGGAGGACAGGGTTGGTTCAAGAGGAGCCTCGGTGGCCCTGGGGCTCTGAGTGGGAAGAGTCACTTCTAGACTAGGGGATCCTGCTTAACAAGCGCTCCTTCAAAGTCGCCACCCACAAGGGTTTCAGGGAGTTTTTGAATCCCCCAAAATAGATGTGAAGTGTTGTATGAACATGTACCTGCTGAGGGAAGGCTCTCAGATTATCATCAGATTCTCAAAAGGAATTATGAACCGCTGGGGCAGAGAAGGTTTCATTCTTTTCTTTTCCAGTCAAACCCAGGAGTCCAGAGCTGCAGAGTGTAAGTCAGGTCTCTGTTTTCAGCACTTTTTCAACCCACAAAAGCGTCAGGGTCAGTCTGGTTACAGGTTGGGAAGCTTGACATGTAAGGTGCCCGATAGAAGAGGGCGGCACTGAAGTTGCAGAGGAACGTTGTCATTGGCTGGAGGGCACCTTGCATGCTGAGCGCCCCCCTGCTAAGCCCCTGTGGCCACCTCCCCAGCCCTGGAGCGTTCCTCAGAGCCTGGTCCTCAGTCCATCCCTAGGGAGCCTCATTTGTGCTTCTGGGGAAGATGCCAGCACTCAAGATGTAGGAGAAGCAACTTCTGATCTTCCTTCGATTTATCTGTGTCACATCCTGCATCTTCCTTTTGGGTTTTCCTGGGACAGAGAAGTGAGCTCACTCCAGAAAATGATTTTCAGACGGTTTTGTTTATTCTGACTGGTTTATAAACACGCACAGCCATTTATACTCATCAATGTATGCAAAAATAATACTGAGGAAGCATCCTGTTTTTTTATTTTTTCTCAGACATTTATATCCCACAGACAATAAAAAGCATGGAAGAAAAATGAGAAAATATAGAGTTATAGGAAAAAACCCACCCTTTAAAACTGCACTACTAGGAGAAAGCATTGTTAAAATTTGGATACATTTATCCAGGGATTTTCCTGAAGATCTGTGTGTGTATAATATGTAGTGTGTAGTGTAAATCCATGTACTTGAACATAAGAAGAACCATGCTGCTCGTACTATATTGAAATCTACTTTTCACTTAAAAATATATGTGTATCATAAAGCATTAAGTAATGTGCTTTTGTTTTATTGTTTTTACTGGCTACCCTGTCATCCATTATGTGATATGTCATGATTTTTTAAAAAAATCCATCTTCAGTTCAACTTTTGGAGAGTTGGGAACTTTCTCCTATTATAAACAACATCGCAGCGAATGTTCTCGCTTATGCATCTTAGTGAATATGTATGATTGTTTCTTTGAGCTTATTTCCATATTGTGCTCCAGGAAGAAACCTAGGGCCGGTATTCACTCCTACCCAGGGTAGCCTGGAGCTTTTATTCCCTTCTCTTCACACAAATACTGAGAATTGTCCCTCTGGTGGCTCCACATTGCTATTTAAGTATTGTTTCAATTTCTAAGTCTTTGACTCCCAGTGAGATTAAATACTTTAAAAATATGTTTATAGTCATTTGTATTTCTTCTCAAACAGCTCCCTATTCCTAGCCTCTGTTTGATTTTCTACCAGATCATTCACGTTGATCTTTATTCTTGATTTGAAATAGTCCTTGAAATTAAGTATATTGCATTTGATCTGCTTTAGGTTGTAAAATTTTTCCAATCTCATTTGCCTTTTAAATATATATAAAGTATTTTGTTTTTTCCTATATGTTGTATTTTAGTTTTATTAAATTACGTCTTAATATTTTCTTTTGATTTTTTGTTTCATGCCAGAAAGACTCTACATAGCAAGAATTTATAAATATACTCCTATATTATTCTAATTACATACCTACTCAGCATTCCTCTCGGATGTCCCTCAAAGACCCCTCAAGCTCATAGATTTTCTTCTCCTTTCTTCTTTTAAATATTTGCTGGCTCGTTAAACGGTGTTACTACCACCTACGTTGTTCTGGACGGAAACTGAGAGATCACTTTGTGGCCCTCCCCTTCTCCCCCCTTACCTGCGACCAGCTGCCCAGGAGGCCTAGAAACCTCTAGACCCTTTCACTTCTTCCTGGAGCCCACACCTCCGCCTGCCCTAGAGCAGGGTCTCCCCACCCCCATTCCCCTTCACCCCTAAACATTCCCCACACCGAAGAGACCTTTACAATGAAGATCTATGTTATCCCTCCCTGCTTAAAATCACCTACTGGCGTTTCATTGTCTTTAAGAAAAAGGTCAAAGCTCTTAACTTGGGAGCTCTTAACTCAAGACCTGGGAGGTCGGGCCCATCCAGCGTTTCCAGCTTGTCCTGGGCGCCCCCTGGCCTGCTGGATTCCTGAACACCCACGTCAGGCTCTGCTCAGTCACGTTCTTCCTCTCTCTCCCCTGCCTCCCTGTCCCCTCCGCCTTCCTCTCCTCCCAGAGACGCACTCCAGCTGGGAAGTCCACCCCTAGGTGTTTCCTCTTGGGGCTCACCGTGATCACAGGGAGCAGTCAGGCTCTACCAGCTTCAAACATCGGTCTAACTTGTCTTTGAAAACAACAAATGCCTATTTCTATTCAGCTCTGGTAATTTTTCAAGCTGCAGAGGACCATAGAATATTTCCTAAAGTTGTTTGGAGAGTTGTACTATTAATGTGTTTTACAGAACACTGGTCCCATGAGATACTCCATGGAAAAAATGTCTGTGACCAGCAAAGTTTGGGACATGGTACATGCCATGTGGAGATTCAGAAAGGATGCCCACACACTAAAGGCTCTTAGTAAAGAGTCTTATGTGCCTTTATTTATTTTCCAAATATATATATATATATGTATATTTATATATATATATGGAGGTAGTAAAGTTTATTTATTTAATTTTTTTTTTAATGGAGAGAGTGGGGATTGAACCCAGGACCTCATGCATGCTAAGCACGCGCTTTACGACTTGAGCTATACCCTCCCCCTATCTTCCAAATATATTTGATCATAGAACTTTTCTTTTTTCCCTTAAAAAAGAGCCTATTTTGAGAAGTAGCATTCTACAAGAAGGGCTGAAAAAATATTAGCTACCATCATCATGTAAGGAATGATGGTGCCTATACTCTTTGGGTTGCTACCTTGGGACTAAATATCCTTTCATCATACCTGAGGTTTGGCAAAACTTACTCTTGGCCAACTAAGTGCTCAAAAGCTCCCTAACTGACTGAGCGGAGTGAATTAGGTAACTCATTGTTACCTAATTAGACAGCCAGTCCAGTGTCACATTTACCTTATGAGACTGGCCTTTTCAGTTGAGTCAAGACACTTCACTCTCAGGCCAGCAGGTTACTCTGGGAGGTGTATGTGCTGAATTCAGGCTCCTCCTTGAAAATACACTCTCTCCAGCCATCCGAACCCAGACAGGCTCCTTACTCTCTTACTCATCATGATTTCCACACATCTCTCTCCTTAAGAACTGGCCTAAGTCCTCTCTATTTTCAGTTTTTAACTTATTTTGTGCCCACTCAAAAGAGTGGGAGGCTCTGTAATTCTGTTGCCTAGAATTATTTGGCTCAGGACCAGTAGACGGAAAGAAAGGACACCATAATGCAACCTCAATTCTCTGGGACCTGCTTTATTTCTGCCTGAAACCGCAGACTGGACCTGAGATCATTGCACTCCAACAGGGGAGCCAAAAGTTCTTCCAGGCGCATTGCCAGTCCAAACGCAATACCGGTGACCTGCTGCTTTCTCACCATAGCAGAAAGTCTACATGCATTATTAAAAGTTGCATAATGTTATCATATTTCCCTCTGTTTTCTAACTCAACTAATTTTCAATAGTGGTCTTACAGTTCACAATACAGTGTTCTACAGTTTCAAGCTCATTTTCATGGACAAATGCCATCAGTGTTTTATTCTCCTTGAGCTTTTAATTTGCATTTCTTTGATGATGATCTTTCATGTGATTATTGACCGTTCGTATGTCTTACCTTACGAAGTGTCTTTTCAAATCTTTTGTCCATTTTTTTAAAAGCAGAATTTTGTTCATACTGTTGAGTTGTTAGAGTTATTTACATATTCTAGATACAAACCCTTTGTCAGGTGAACCTTTTGCTCACTCATCCCTTCTTCACGGTATTTTTGTGGGAACAGGTGTTTTTATTTTTGGTCATCTCTGATTAATCAATTTTTTTCTTTTTTGGTTTGTTCTTTCTTTGCCTACCTCAGGATGACATTTTCCCCAATGTTTTCTTCTAGAATTTTTAAAAAATAGGTTTTGCTTTTGGGTTTAGGTTTTGAGTTAAGTTTTTGTGTATGGTGTGATTAAAAGATAGAAGTTTCTTTCTTCCCTACATGAATATCTAGTTAGCATCTTATTGAAAAGATTATCTTTTCCCCACTGAATTCCATTAGCTCATTTGTTAGGAAACAGTAGGACTATTTATGTGTCGTTTTTCCCTAGGGCTGCTTTTTTTTTATAAATCAAACTTCTTTGAGATAATTGAAACTTCAGACTTTATG